ACCTCCACGTGGTGTAACCTGGGCAAAGTATACTCATACGACAAAAATAGTCTATAAGCAGGCAGTTGAATTAATAATGACTAAAGCCTTCATCATAAGCTGCAGAAAACTGTGCTTTCCAAAAAGCACATAATTTAATAAACACAAGTACTTTTACAGTTGTCTTAAGAAACACTTAACTTCCTTATTCTCATGCAGGGGTGAGCGATAGACACATCTCCACGTGGTGTAAAAAGTTCACAAACCGAGAAGTGACTTCTGACTTCAAACTACCATCACCCCACTTTATGTCATATTCCACCGCTTTCACAGTACTCACCTCACCTTACCTTTTTCTCTACCTTAGAGTCTGTCTGTCTCTTTCATATCTGTGAATCACTCTTTCGTTCCATCCCCCCACCCCCTCTAGAATTTTTCTCATTTTAAGGTTTCTTCCACTCTGTGAAACTCGAAGTCAACTAAAGGGCTAATGATAACTATTATGAAGCCTGTCATTTGATATAAATTATCAATTATTTGTCTAGAGATAAACAGGTAATGCAAAAGTATAATTTTATTTGAGTCAGGAAAAACGGCTTTAAAAGTTGATTATTCATAAAAATGGAACTAGACTCTAGTATTTCTCTCTATTTGGCTTTAATTAAATGCGTTCTCTCTGAAGTCTAATAAGACCTTCTGCTTTGTTCCTGGCATTGTAGAAAAGTGAAAGAGTAATATATCATGGAGTGTGCCGTTTCCCTTTCAGCCTGTTCACCTTCATCATGGTTTGACCTCCCAATCGCACAAATAATTCATCACTTCTACGCAAAAGTATAATGCAAGTGACGCTCCTTTTAGGTAAAAGATCCAATTTGGCCAGTGGAAACTCCGCAGTTATTGCAAGAATTCGTGTCCTTCGTGAAGAGGATATGTACACAAAAAAATACCAGTATGCGTACGTGTTTGTGTGAAAAGTTAGATGCGAGAATATTATCTCACAAAATAAGCCACGACTGATTATGTTTTCAAACTTTGGCTAAACATGGAACACCAGGAATCGATATCGCCAAATGAGGGTGTGTCAAAGACGTTGAATATTTGAAAAAATAATATTGATCAAAGACTTTGGTGAGATAGGAAAGCTAAATAATGGGATCCTTTCCATGGTATAAATGAAGTGGTGGAAGTAAGATTCAGTTCTAGCCCGATGTGAAAACAGTGTAAATACCGGTTTTGTAGTGAAGAAGTCACAAAATAGCAGAAAACACGGAAATGTATCTTTGAATCCACGGGGTTTGCGATAGACTTACCTCCACGTGGTGCATCCTGGGCAACGTATATTCATACGGCAAAAAAGTCTATTAACTGGCATTTGACTTCTCACTTCAAACTACCACCACCTCACTCTATGCCATATTCGACTATTTCCACAGTATTCACCTCGCCTTTTTCTACCTTCGTCTTTGAAGCACCCATGTGCACCATGTGGGGCACCCTGGGCAACGTTTACTCATAAGGCAAGAAAGTCTATTATTCGGCAGTTGACTTCTGACTTCAAATTATCATGACCCCACTGTTTGTCATATTCCACCATTTCCCCAATACTCACAATGCATTTCCTATACCATTGTGTCTGTCTGCCTGTCTCTTTTACATCTGTGAATCACTCTCCTATTACTCCTCTCGACATTTTGTGACCTTGCCTGTTTCGCCCCCCCCCCCCCCCCCCCCCCCCCGCCTCCGTAAAGCCTGAAGTCAACTATCAAAATGATTGCCATTTAAAATAAACAAATAAAATATTCCTGTTTAGTATAATGGATCAAGATAGTTAGGAATTCGGAAAAATACAAAATCAATACGAGATCCTATGTTTGAGGGCTGACTCATTGGCATTAATGTGGAATGCAAAATATACTGAAGGGCTGAAGGCTCAAGTACCCAGTAAAAACACTAATTAAAAGCCTCTGATAAGCTTCAATGTCGCAACAAGTTAGTTGAAAATTTTCGTGATCTTTCAGACAAACTGCATTTAATTAAAGGAAGCAAAAATGGAAGTGGAATTAAATATGGACATTAAATTATCATTAAAATTACGAACTCACTAAAGTGAAATGACTCTTTATCACCATTCCTTCCAGCCATCTGCGCGAATTCATCAATAGCCTTAATATTGAAGCCATAGAGTTTTGTGAAACCGTCCTGAGTGATTTCGCGAAAACACTTTAGTAGTTTCCTCTTGGCCTGAATAACGTCTTTGTCTTCAGTGGAGTCTTCGGCTCTTTGAGTTATGACGTGAACCGCTCGATTAATAACTTCTTGTTCAGTTATGTTTTCCCCCATTGTGGAACCTTTCGCGGGGAGCATAAGTTCTAGACATTCACGACTTGCTTTTGCCAACGAGGCTAATCCGCACGTAGCCTGATCCTAGTGAAATAGTAAGTGAAATGCCAAAAAACTGTTTTTTGTAGTGTTTATTCGAAATTAAGGGGTGTGTGATAGACTTACCTCCACGTGGTGCACCCTGGGCAACGTATACTCATACGGCAAAAAGCCTATAAACCGGCAGTTGACTTCTGACTTCAAACTACCATAACTCCACTAGATGCCATTTTCTACCACTTCCACAGTAATCATCCTACCTTTTCTCTGTCTTTGTGTTTGTCTCTTTTACAACTGTAAACCACTCTTCTGTTCCCCATCCCTCGACTTTCTGTTACTTTGATGTTCCTCTCTGTGAAGCCCGAAGTCAGGTAAAGGGCTAATGATAACTATTGAAACGCCTGCCATTTGAAATAAATAATTAAATTATTCGAAATTAATAATTAAATTTAACACACTTTGATCAAGCTAATAATTATTTCAAAAATATAAATTGAAATTCTTTTTTTTGTTAGGTCATTTATGGGGCGCTCTTGTCTGTAAATTTTATTGATATTTTTTGCGTAATAAAATTAAATTTTTATTAAATATTAGAATTTTTAGTGCCAAATCAGCTCCAGCTGTTACAATTGGAAACTTCCTTCTTTTTTCATTTTCATTCGACTA